TGTTTAATTTGTTTTAAAAGAGAGCAAACGTAGCAAACCGATTTATAAGGTGTCGGATTACATGAAACGTACAACTTTTGCTCTTGGCATGAAAAAGAACATCGTGCTAACAACTGTGAAAAATAAACCAACAACCAATCAACAAAACCTCGTACAAAAAGGTAGGCATCCAAAGTTAGATTCTTTTGACATCAGGGTCATCAGCATAGCTGACCTACATTGACGAACGTTGACCTTCATGACCCAACACTGCCGCTGTTACAGGTCATTGGCTCCCTCCCTCTGCAAGCCTTCTGCGTTCTGCTGTTTATTTTGTTGACAGTTACATAGACAGATTCTTTAATACAAATGCATAAAATCGGTGATTTACAATGTGATTAGGTTGTCTGATAAAACATCTACTTGCACAGTTTGAGATAGATTGGGTCATTGGATGAAGAGATATTTACAAAAACCCGGGTCCACATGCATTTCATGCCAAACTATAATAAAGCACACGACTTCATGGATAACATCCTCATGTTCATTGCAATTAGCGGCGTGGGTTCTTACATCAGGTTCAAGCCAACAGTGACAACAACCAAGTGATTAGAAGTACAGAATGCTGTGACAGACATCATGTACTTCAATAACACTGACTGACTGACTGAGTATGGTTTTACGCCGCTTTTAGCAACATTCCAGCAACATCACGGCGGGGGACACCAGAAATGGGCTTCACACATTGTACCCATGTGGGGATTCGAACCCGGGTCTTTGGCGTGACGAGCCAACGCTTTAACCACTAGGCTACCTCACCGTCCCCTACCTCAATAACAAGGGGTAGATAATTGGATGAGGCGAGATGGGGAGTAAGAACAACACATAGGACAGCCTTGAAGCAGGAGGGATTCAGTAGTGAAACAGCAACAAACAACCAGGGCCCCGTTCCTCAAAGCGATCGTAGCGCTACGACAGTCGTAAGTCTATGTTAAAGTATGGGAGTTACGATCACCTTAGCGCTACGATCGCTTTGAGGAACGGGGCCCTGATCGGGTGCTGATTCATAACGTCTATAGCTTGGTGAGCTCTTCGAAGGCCAATGGTATGTACAATGTAGTACCCTTCGTCTCTGTCATTACATTCACAGCGTTCCTTACACGTTGCTTTGTGAAATGAACAAGAAGTTGTTATTAAGAAATAGCATATTTAATTATTGACTCACCAACTGCTAGAATGCCAATCAAACACATAATTGCTGTTCACAACGCTGTACACCTGAAACATAGTTTATCGAATACATCTAACATAGAACTGACCAGAGTCACTAGCAAAACCCAACTGGTACTTCTGAAAATATCAATATATGATCATAGTTTTATATTGAGTAGACAATGCAGTTATTAAAGAAAGAGCATAAGAATAAAGGTCAAAATTGTGATGAAATGGATGCCTACGTTACGATGTTTAGCACACTCAAACCTGTGTGCTTCGTTACATCGACCATGACATAGTTTCCTATTTTGCAATAGCTCGCCAGCTGAGGTTGTAGACGGAAGATGGCGCAAACAGTCGTCTTCATAGATTACATTACAGGAACTATGCTCATGACAAAGGCTGACATTCAAAACCTATCACGTATCTAGTTATTGCAGTGTTTCCAACAAGCGTTATGTTCATTATGGTCTGTTTGGAACAAACACTCTTCAAAAAAAGAAACGCATAGATGATTTTGAGAATATTGGACTCGTGTAGCTGCGGCACAAACAATACAAATATATTTCTTTCCAAAACGTCATCTTTGTGTAATTGTAACAGATTCAGCGCCAAAACGCGTCAATTTTAACTTTTCCCCTTGTTTTAGAAGCGTTTGAAGACATACTCGCCAAAACGTCACCTAGAAAACATGCTAACCAAAATACACGTGCAAGTAAGCGGAAAAGCATGCGGTATCGATCACTATAGCGAGGAAAACGTTGTGTTTAATTTTGTCATGATTCGTTTTTGCCTGGAAAAGAGGAAATCATCATGCCAAGACTGAGTGCCTCCAATCGAAACTTCGCCATAGGCCGCCTTGAAGCTGGGGAGTCGTATTCTGCATTTGCCCGACATTTCAACGTTCATCAGAGCACCATATCTTGCCTTTGGGATCGTTTCCTGCAGACCAGTTCCGCCCAAGATCGCCCGAGAAGCGGCCGTCCAAGAGGTACCACCCAAGCCCAAGACCGCTACATCCAGGTTGCTCACTTGCGGCATCTCCTTGCCACAACCGTGGAGACTGTACAAGGCATCCCTGGTTTGAAAAGAATTTCCGACCAAACTGTCAGGAATCGATTGCGTGAAGTGGGGATTCGACCAAGAAGGCCAGTTGTGGCTCCTGAGAGACTTCAATAGACGCAATTGCGTGTGGTGGTGTCGAAGAGTCCGGAACAGGAGCCTTAGAAACTGGAGACGGTTAGTGATGAATCCCGATTTTTTTCTACACCGGTGAGATGAAAGACAGCGTGTTTACCGTCGGAGACATGAACGTTTTGCCCCTAATTGCATTAGACAGATTCGGTGGAGGCAGTGTCATGGTATGGGGTGAGAGATCCAGCACACAAAGATTTCATTACGTGGTGGTTCTGGGGAATTGGACTGTAAATCGGTACATTAATGAAGTCCTTGCGCGTCAGATGGAGTTGTTCCAGCATGACACAGCTACTTCACATACAACACGCGTCAGGGTTGCTACCTTGCAATTCTAACGTCAGTGTCTTGCCATGGACTTTCCGATCCCAGATCTAAACCCGATAGAACACCTATGGGATGAACTCGATGGACGAGTACGTCAACGTCAAAACACACCTCAGAAACTTCCACAACTGGCCATCACATTGCAGGAAGGGCGGGGAGGAATTCCGCATGAGCGACTTCGTCGACTTATTCACTCTGTGCCAAGACGGTGCCGAGCAGTAATTGCTACCAATGGTGACCATGCACAGTACTGACTTTGACGCCATGTTGTCGACTCAAGTAAACAGAAGCACAAGAAAACTCATTGTCTATAGACGTGTTAATTTTCACCTTTTTACCATTAAGATTACATGAAATAATTGCCCTTAAACTACCGCAATAAATTATTCTAAAAATAGCTTATGCGTTTGTTTTTGAAGAGTGTATAATTATTTCAAGACAGGTACAAATATTGTCATGTGGATTGTATAACAAACATCCCGTGTACATGCCTAAGATAAATGCTGCACTAAAACAATTTGCTGTAGTGTCTCTGAATGATAGATGTGTGTTACAGTGTGTGGTTGTTTGCTTGATGTGAAAGTGAATATTATACTTGTATTGTACTGTGAGGAGTTTGTTTACAGTTTTACGTCACGATGCCTCGTTATGGTGGAAATACAGTTTCTGGAAGGCTTGCTGCGTCTGAATCAGAGCGAGACGAGGGGATTCGAGCCTTTTCCATAGCCTCAGTGGCACCTGATATACTTGCTCATTGAAACACCGGAAATTAGTATTTTTTCAACATCTGTCTGTGTGACAAGGCAAGGGAATGTACAGTACACAGGGACCCTTATTCCCGCCGATGTCCAATACACTGGGAACCATATACCTGTAACAACCTATACCTGCCGATGTCCAATAGACAGGGGGAACCATCTTCCCGCAGATGTCATCAATACTTATACAAGTCAATAAGAGCATGAATCATCCATGAGAATCCTGCAACTTTCCTTCCAGGTTTCTGTTCTCTGGTGGAAACTTCATTCAACTATAATGTTCCTTTTAACACATGAAATTCTCAAGTTGGGTTGAGTGTATATACGGATATCAGTTTTGCATATGTTTTGTGTTCCGATGAACAGTGTCAGGTGTTGCTAAATCCAAGCATGAGGAAGTGAAATAGATCACCTGTCACCTCAAGGCAGGTGTCAGCGTGTCAACTTTGACATGTGACAATAACGGTGTTGAGGAGCACCTGTGTGATATAAAGAATACTCTGGTAACTATTGCGCTAAATGAATGCAGTGCATTCCTAGAGTATTACTGTAACACTGATCAAAGGCAGTGGGGTAGCCTAGTGGTTAAAGCGTTCGCTCGTCACGCCAAAGACCCGGGTTCGATTCCCCACATGGGTACAATGTGTGGAATCCATTTCTGGTGTCCCCCGCCGTGATATTGCTGGAATGTTGCTAATAGCGTCGTAAAACCATACTCACTCACTGTAACGCTGTGTCACAAGAGTGACATGACACTCTCAGAAGAAGCATGCTCGATTGTACCCCAAAATGTGCGAAATGTAGACACCAAAGGTTCACGATACAAATATTTATTCACATAAAGGGGACGTTGGAAAAACGAAGTCACTGTTCTGCTGTGTATGGAGCATATGCTACTCTGAATATTTATTAATAGGTCTATGTGAAAGTGATGACGAGGTCTCACTGGCCTCCTTTACTTCTTCCGGTAGGGAGATATATGTAATGGAATTGGTTATTTGAACGTTAGGACCCCCGTGGTCAGCGTAACTGCACAATGCTTAAGCCCGTGGAAAGGATCACTGACAGTCATGATTGCTGCCATCGTACCTCTGTGTCGAGGATCGTGGGTGTCCTGTTAATCCTTTGGTCCAGACTAACAGTACATGACATGATAAACTGTGTCTCTGTGGTAAGTTAAACGTCTTGTCGACATTCCCTTGCTTCATTTCGTTTATCCTAACAGAATTAGGAGTAGTACTTCTGCCTACTGAGACGTCCCAAAATAAATTAAATGATCATGAATTATCATATTATATAGGGTCGATAAAGGCACCATATTCTCATGTCCATGACATACTGTGTCGGAATATGCTGAACAGTGATTTTGAAGAAACATCGAGTTGACAGTACAATGTTTCATTCAGAACTTTACAGTAAACTGAGTAAAACGGGTTTTAAGTTTAATTCAACTACAACTCATCTTACGCCTTAAGTACAGGTGGATACTTCTTAAAATAATGGTAAAAATGAGAACTAAATTGAAAATATAGACAAAAGTTTATTTTCAGCGTACAGTCACTATGACAGAATATACACAGTTGTTTTATTTCACAAGAAATGGAAAATGATGTCTGCATTCCACAGCCTGCGAGGAACCAAAGTGAACCACCATACGTACGATCATACCTTGACAACCAGTCTACCCGCTTGGATCCTCATTTGGAATTAAATGTTCTATGTTTTTAGTAAGAGGAGTAGCTTCGTTTCTTTCCATAATAGCCCCCTTTGCCATAATAGCCTCCTTTGCCATAATAGCCTCCTTTGCTCCCGCTGCCTGAAGAGGCCCTTGCACTAGCACTAGCACGAGCTCTTGCTCTTGCTGAACCACCCGATCCGCCTGAACCACCAGAACCACCAGAACCGCCTGAACCGCCTGAACCGCCTGAACCGGCTGATCTGCCTGATCCTCCTCGTGACCTTCCTGCTGCAGTTGCAGCAGCTCTTGCTCTTGCACTTGCTCTTGCAAGAGCTCTCCTGAGGAATGCGTATCCGCCGTTGTCATCATCATCGTCACCGTTACCATTGTCGTCGTTGTCATTGTCTCCCCAACGATCATCATCATCCCAATCATCGTTGTCATCATCTCCCCAACGATCATCGTCATCCCAATCATCGTTGTCATCGTCTCCCCAAAGATCATCATCATCCCAATCATCGTTGTCATCATCTCCCCAACGATCATCGTCATCCCAATCATCGTTGTCATCATCCCAACGATCATCATCCCAACGATCGTCATCAAAACGATCGTCATCAAAACGATCATCATCAAAACGATCATCGTCATCCCAATCATCCCAGAAATCATCATCATCACCATTGTCACCATTGTCATTGTCATTCCAGTCATCATCATCCCAGTCAAAGTCATCCCAGTCATCGTCATTGCCATTTCCATTCCCGTTGCCGTTGCCATTTCCATTCCCGTTGCCATTTCCATTCCCGTTGCCATTTCCATTGCCGTTGCCGTTGCCGTTGCCGTTGCCGTTGCCGTTGCCGTTGCCGTTGCCGTTGCCATTGCCATTGCCATTGCCATTGCCATTGCCATTGCCATTTCCGTTGCCATTGCCGTTGCCATTGCCGTTGCCATTTTCGCCGTCACCGCAGTCGTCGTCATTATCCCAGCCAAATCCAGAAGCACTGGCTGAAGCAGAAGCATCAGCGAAGGCGCTAGATGATCCGAAACCACCATTGAAACCTCCAGCACCTGCGTTTGCAGCAGCACTAGCACTCGCACGAGCAGAGGCTTCGGCAAATTGTCCTAGAAGTGTGGCAATGTTAGCAGATGCTGAGGCATCAGCAGAAGCCGAAGCAGATGAGGATCCAAATCCACCAAATCCACCACCGAATGCACGGGCAGCTGCATCAGCGCTTGCTCTTGCACTTGCTGAACCAAATCCAAAGCCGCCTCCACCACCACTTCCACCAGCTCCACCAGCACCGAAACCACCAGCAGCTCCACCGGCTCCACCGAATCCACTGGCTCCACCGAATCCACTGGCTCCACCGGCTCCACCGGCACCTCCGGCACCACCGGCACCACCGGCTCCACCGGCTCCAGCACCACCACCGGCTCCAGCACCACCGGCTCCACCTGAGAGTACGCTTGTGAGGAGGCTGACAACTGTTGACAGAAGGTTGAGGATGGCCCCATCGTCATCATCGTCGTCATCATCATCGTCGTCATCGTCGTCATCATCATCGTCGTCACCATAATATTCCTCATCATCGTCGTCATCGTCGTCGTCGTCATCGTCGTCGTCATCATCATCGTCGTCATCATCATCATCATCGTCATCATCATCATCGTCATCATCATCATCATCCCCCCAACCCCCAGCTCCTCCTCCGCCACCTCCTCCGCCACCTCCAGAGAGGAAGTTAAGGAGACCAGGTAGAGGTCCGCCAACGACACCGATAGGGAATCCCTTGGGGAAGGGAACTTCTGGATAGGGCTCTGGGCGGCCGCCACCGTACAACCAGCTGTCATCGTCACCATTATCGTCACCGTTTCCATTTCCGTTTCCATTTCCGTTACCATTTCCGTTTCCGTTTCCATTTCCATTTCCGTTTCCATTTCCGTTTCCATTTCCGTTTCCATTACCATTGTCATAACCGTTATCATAGCCATTACCATTTCCGTTTCCATTTCCGTTTCCATTACCATTGTCATAACCGTTATCATAGCGATAACCATTTCCTTTTCCATTTCCGTTTCCATTACCATTGTCATAACCGTTATCATAGCGATAACCATTTCCTTTTCCATTTCCGTTTCCATTACCATTGTCATAACCGTTATCATAGCCGTTATTATAACCGTTATCATAACGCTTTTTACCATAGCCTTTCGACTTCCAGCCATAGCCAGGCTTCACTCGGTCATCTGGAAATACAAATGATGCTGTCCATAGGTGATGTTACGTGCTGAGCATACTCAACGTATCGATACACATGATTACATTTGTCCATATAGAGATATGCCTAAAGGGGCCATTGTACTTTGTGAAAAAGTCCTTACGATTTGCATCTGTTGGAAGATTCAAGTCTTACCATTTTTGACAAGGATGGAGCACTGGCAAGTAGCTTGAGAGTATGCTGTTCCTACAGCACATGACATAGTCTTCCATCCTGTTCCAGGGATGAATTGTTGGAACTTCCTGTTGTCCCCCTTGTATGGCCTTTTGTCGCATGGTGCTATAAGTGTAGAAAGGAACATAGTCCGATTCAACACTGATACTGGCAGACAGCTACATACAAGGAACTAATCAAACATGCAACTTTAATTAAAGTATTCAAACTGTATGTGTGACAAAACTCTCTCAGTGGAACAGATCCCTGGTGTTTACAACACTGCTTAAACCCACATGTACGTGTATTGTTCTCACAAGCCTGACACAATAATCAGCTAGGTTGCGACCCCATTATCAAAGTTTCCTGCCACAAAAAGGGACGGAACTCTGCGCAGCGAACTTTGAGCAGCATTCGAGAACAGTGAACATTTGTAGTCGCACACACACTTGTTAATGGCAACGAGGGAATAAAGGCATGAACTCTTACAATTATTAAACAATTTGTGTTACAGATATAGCCCAGTTTTGCATGAATACCAAGACCTTTCTCGTTAAGAGGGCGGAGGGGTAGCCTAGTGGTTAAAGGTTCGCTTGTCACACTGAAGTTCCGGGTTCGAGTCCCACATATATACAATGTGTGAAGCCCATTCCTGGTGTCCGCCGAAGTGATATTGCTGGCATATTACTAAAACCATATTCACCCACTTAATTGTTCGGTTATAGAAAATATATCAAGGATTACAAGGATTTATTCATCAAACAGCTATATCTATCAGATAATGGTTAAAGAGAAGGCCACTGGACGTACATCTATTCCGATGCGTAACACACACACTGAACTCCAACTGACTGAACTCATATGGTGTTTTGTTTCAAACATGAACATGAAAATTCTTCCTACAATATCACAAATTCTCTGCTGAAGTAGAAAAGAGTTTGCTGTATAGCATGTGTTTATGAATCAGTTTCAAATAGTGATGAAACAGCTGTTGGCGAATAGGTGAAAGTATCCTTTCCCAAGAACATATTTCTTCATAAACCCTCTGAGGAAACATGCATTGTTCTACATTGTTACTGGCAGTGATAGCATTTTCTACCATATAGGCACAGTTTATCACGCCATATAATGTAAGTCTGTACAAAAGGATGAACAGGACACCAACGATCCTCGACACAGAGGTACGATGGCAACAATCAGGCCTGTCAGTAAGCCTTCACAGGCTTTATGCATTGTGCAGTTACACTGACCACAGTAGCCCTAACTGACTTGCTAGACATTCAATGAATGAGTGAGTGGTTTTACGCCGCTTTTAGCAATATTCCAGCAATATGACGACGGGGGACACCAGAAATTGGCTTCACACATTGTACCCATGTGGGGAATCGAACCCGGGTGTTCGGCGTGACGAGCGAACGCTTTCACCACTAGGTTCCACCACCGCCCAACAGTTAATGAAACAGACATATTAGAAAATGACATGAAAGAACCTACGTTTCTTTATAGCGTATCCAGTGACCGCCACCAAAAGACACGCTAAAGGGACGAAGCACTTCATTTTGAAAGATGCGGGCCAACGAAATTCTGAAAAATAAAACATTAAGATATTTATCCATTGGAAGAAAAGTAAGTTATTAACCCAACAAAAAATATTTTCCACAAAATAGCAATTACACACATGGGGGATTTCTACAACCTGAATTATTAAACAAACAAATGAAAGTGAGACATAGAAAGTGTTTTTGCAGAGCAAAATTAATTTTCCGAGGAATAAATTTAACATCGCGTGTGAGATGATGAACATAAAATCCAAACCATCGGCTTAGAATATCCACGTTTGCGGGAGTAATTCCGATTCCGTATTCATATGCCATTCCACTATTCACACTTACTCACCTCTTTGGCTCTGCCCGCCCGGACAGCTATGGATAAAAGCAAGGTAGCTGTTGTGGCGGGTTTCAGAACCTGTTTCAGTTTTATAAGCAACCAAAATGTTCGCGCATGCGCTGTGAAGTCTTCGTCATATGCTCTGACAGCAAGCCAGTGCTACCTCGTGTCTACGTGAATTATTATTGGGCGGAACCTGGTTCGCCAAAATTTGCGACATGTGTCATTTTTATGGTGATACTACGACGTCGACACGGGATTGTCATAGGATGACCGCTCTACACCACTGAACTTTATATTTGAAAATTCATAAATCACGATTCCCTTGAAGATCCGGGTTACAAATGGTCTTCACAACCAATGCTTGTCGTAAGATGAGTCCTTAGGGATCTGGGGGTCAGGCTCGGTGACTTTGTTGTTTCATGCCATAGTAGCCATAGTAGCCATAGTAGCTATGATGTCAGTCACTGGATTGTGTGGTCCAGACTAGATTATTATGGCGTTACAAAACAACTAAAACACAGATTATGAAGAATTCATAAAGAAATGCAAAAGTCCAATTCCGAGAGGCGCTCTCTACTAAACAAGTACAATATCAATGTTTAGATACCGTTCTTGACAGAAAATAAAACATTTAAACATAAAATGAAACCAGAATATTGCCAGGGACCCGTTGTGCAGAGACTCGCCCCTTTGTCGTGTTTTAAGTTCATTGGTTCGAATCCTAGAATCGCCCTCATTTTGATGTGAAAACGTTTGACCACCCGTTTTGTCCCAATGACACATAGATGTGTCAAATCTGTTTGAAACCTCACAGAGTCAATTGTTTTGGTACAAAAATGTTTTGAATATTATGGATAAATCTATACACACAGATATGCCTCAAGACCTTTCAAAGATCTACACGGGAGTAGAAAATTACTGTGTAGGGTGGCTTCCCTTTGACGTGACAGAATCCACAAAGATTGAATCGCAAACATTGTCATATTTATGGCATACGAGCTTGGGCTCGTCATCACCTACCCATTGTCGAGGGTTCATTTAAGTGATAAAGGTCTAACACCTGTTTTTCTTCCCACTTTAGACTGACACAGAACGAAAGTATCGGTATAATATTCAAATATGTGTTACTCCCAACACATGTGCTCACTCATGTCGACAAGATAATTCTTTTTACAGTTACCAAGGTAAATAAACAAATCAAATAAGGTCTGTTTAGTAAAAAGATAATTTGAAAGTACGATTCTTCATGCGGATGTGTGTGTATATTACCCTGGTTCCCGATCCACAAAGCGTTTGTACCTTCACGACCTATCGTAACTCTAGACTAGATGGCATACGAATGGCATAGTGCTACAAACGCTTTGGATAGGGTCCCAGAATACTATAACATCTGAAGGGATGGTGTAAATCCAGCTAGGGTCCATGCAGGTAGCAAAGACACTATTATAAGTGGTATAATAATCTACCTTCAATTGTTGGCGACGTATAGCCTGTTTTTATATTGTCGTATATAGTTAAAATGTTTTAAATGTAATTACTAGTTTTAAAATGTATATCTGTGATAAACTAGTTGTTTTACTACCCTTCGTTGACAGGTTTCTATAATTTAAATATACTTATTATTGATATATAAGTTGATGTAGTCATGATATGGCTGAAATACTGCCGATGTGACTTGAAATTTTAACTCACTCACTCCCAGGATACTATTTTACCAATGTAGGTTTGTAATATACGACTAATATGTCACAACAAGACAGAGGAGTCAGGGAGCTCGAAGGTTAAGAGTGTAAACCCTCTATGCATGACACCTTCAAGTTTAAAATTAACATAGTTCTATTTGGTGTGTTCTATGTGTATCATACAAACACCCTTGGTTTAGTGTTTGATTGTTATAATTTCGCCATTGTCATGCTGGTTTGTGTATTTGTATTGTATAAATAAATGTTAATGAATACAACCTATAAAAGATTGTCTGAGACCTATTTATTATGTATAGAATTTTCCTCGTGTGGATTATTTTGCTGTCCATTTACAATTTGTTAAATGTTGCAGGGTGATTTTTGTGAACCCTACCAGCAGAGTGGTGTTTGTTGTGAAGAGCTGGTCACACATGGAACGAATTCACAGAGCAAAAACGAATATTCGGAAACTTAAAAGGACGTTTACGTTCAAAAGTGCCAACTTGCATAAAAATGTCATGGAGAAAAAAGTGGTTCGCAATATGCACGTGCACTTCTGAGGAATCGTGAGCAGGGACATTGCCGTTATAAGGCGGTTTTGCTTTGAGACGCTCATTGGTATTTTAGCTAAAGCACAGAGTATATCGTTTGGCCGCAACAAACATTGTCACTGAATGTCTGGAGGCTGGGTAGTCTCAATCTGCCGTTGACGTCACCTCAATGTTCACCAGAGCACCAGGAGCTGTTTATGGGACCGATATCAACAAACCAATTCTACGCAAGATCGGCCTCGATGTGGTAGACCTGGGATTACTGCAGCGCAGGATAGGTACATCCGGGTATTTAATTTACGGGATCGAACTGTCACAGCAACTGCAACTGCAAGTCCAGTGCCGGGTTTGAGGAGAATGTCAGCGCAAACCATTCGTAATCGTTTACGAGAAGCTGGACTTCAAGCCGGGCGACACTATTTTGGCACTGTACTGCGAAGAGTACATTGACCTCGACGGGTCCAGTGGTGCAGTTACGTTCGATTCTTGAATCTACAAAACTGACGCTTTCTGCATCAGTGCTGTGACGGAAGAGTCCGTGTCTATCGACGTCGAAATGAATGTTTAACTCAGGATTGTGTCGCCCTGGTTGGCCGATATAGTGGTGAGAGTGTTATGATGTGGGGAGACATAGCCTATATGCAGGAAACTAACTTTGTGCACTTCTATGGCAATTTAACTGCGGTTCCGAGCATTGACCGCCAGAGGGAGTTGTTCCAGCAAGATTGTGCAGTTCCTCACACAGCACATGGCACTATTCAGTATCTTCAGAATGAGAACATTACAGTGCTTTCATGGCAGGCATTGCAAGAGGAATGGGCCAGAATTCCACAAGGTCGAATTCAAAGCCATATTTAGTCAATGTCGAGACCTTGCAGAACAGTTTTAAGGCTCATGGTGGCCACAACAGATACTGAAGACAACATCCAACGGGGAACAGACGTCTTTCACGTATTAAACTTTCTGTAAGCTATACATGTTAACAGACATTTGACCTTTCATACTGACAGTGTGAAATTTGGCTGCAACTGATCATGTGACATCTCATTTTAAGGATAGCAGATTAAATTCTTTTTGCGGAGAGTATATATGTTACCGGTGCTATCAGTTGAGCAGAACCCTTTTTGAAAACACCTGGTGTCATCACAGATTTTCAGTGTCCTTTCACATAGTTTTCACAATAGTTGCGCTTTTCACGCCCAGTGGTGTCTGTTTCTATAGATAATTATTCTCTGGTTTTGTCGTCATTTACGTTTTAACGTTATTTGCCTTTTAGCTTTGTCTTTAAACCCATATTGTATACTTCCTGAGCTAACAATGAAACAAAACTTTCAGCTGAAAGCAATTATTTTACTGAGACACACCAGCAATAATGCAACTGCAAAAATGAGTACACCGACTTTGACATACTTTTTAAGCTCGCTTAACAAATCAAAATGTCTCGTACAATGCAGATAGTTTTAATAATGCTGATGATTACATTGAGTTAACAGATGAACGTTGAACCTTCAAGTCTCTAGACACTGTGGCTTAGCAAGTTCTGTACCGTTGGCAAGGACGTGTCACAGGCGGTATGTCATGTCGTAATCGTTGGCACATTCCTGGTACATGCAACTGCTTGTTTTCTCAAACAAAGACAGATCCGCCCCTGCTTTATCAACCTTATCAAAATGCAGGTTTTCAAATAAGTGTAGATTTGTCGTATTAGATGTTCAGCAGTTGTTTTGTAGGCCTAATTGAGGGACATATTTCTTGCAATCTAAAGATGATTTGTGAGTTGACGAAGCAACCCTTCTGTAAGGCGATGCTGAGATGTGGTTTTAGTGAACTGAAAGTAAGTTTGAAACTTGATCTCTCATAACGTAACCACGTAAGAATTGCCACGAACAGTAAAGTGAATAACAGGAAATTTCGTTTAAATGTGACAGTTAGTTGATACAGGTTGAAGATTGGTAGGACAGAGTTCATAACGTACATATGCATTTCCAATCATTAGCTACAGTAGTATACACAATGGGGGTACGGGACCAGGTCCTCCCAAGGGCTCAATTGAAAATAGAATTGATAATGCATTAGCTTTTTTCAATGGGGACATTGGATTGTCATGGCTAGGTTCGTTCATGTTTGCCTGGATTATATATTGTGATTGTGTGCATTTGATGCATAAATAATTACTGATATTTATGACATCGACATAAAAATACTTGAGATATTTTTCTTTGACGTTTCTGATCTCTGTATGTTACAAGGGGAGACAACCGTCTATATTTCCGCCTATGATTACCTTGTAAAGTACATATTACAGATGAGAATATTGAGAACGATAGGGTGAGTGATTGAGTAAGTGAGTTGGATTTTACGCCGCTTTTAGTTATATTCCAGCAATAATGGGCTTCACATACAGGGGTTATATAGCTACACCATGAACAACGACCCATCACCAAACCACGACAAGACAGATTCTGATAGGTGTAGAAGGCAAAAGAGAAAAGCTAATGGACAGATCACTTAAATCAGTGATGACACCAGGTGTTCGCTAAAAGGGAAAGCGAACTCGGTTCTCGTCTACCAGCAGCATTTGTACGCACAAACATCACTCTTGGTATGGTGGCTAATTACAGTACTTCAACTCCGAGATATGATCAAAATGGTGCATCCTATGTTGATGCAATTTTTCCAGATTGGTGTGTTGGTATCTTTTCATGTGGGCTTATTGAAGCGATGACACATTGTTAATGTCATTTCAAACCTGCATCAGCTGAAGTTATGACATTGGTATGACAGATTCAATCGACCCCCTAGAACCAAATGTGCAATTATAGGCGGGACTTGCATGTGAAGTTTTAACTTCACTCATCAAAAACTTCCTAAGGAGAAGTTGTTTACAACGCATGTTTCCAAAATGGCTGCTGAAAGACATATTTG